TACTGTATTTTTTTTTTGATTTTTTACTATTCCAAGTATTGTGTGGAAATTCAGAATATACTGTGCTTTAAATATGCCGATTATACCATATACCGTGCAGTATAAGAGGGCACAGTAACTACCACGTCGACAAAAAATGACAGAAACTTGTACAGTTATTGGACACATCCAAAAATTTTAGCGGTTATAGGATTCATTAAAAATAAAAAGAAAGTTTTCAAAATTATTTAAAATATTATTTCTTTGTAATCTATACGAGTTTTAATAAAACAGTATATTTTTTATATATAGGTGGTATACATTAATCAATTATACAGGGTGTCCTGCAACGTGATGTCCACATTGAAATTGTTTATTCTTGGTGTCATTCTAAATTGAAAAGTCTTAATACACATATGCCCTTAAATGCTCTAAAGTCGATTGTTTCAAAGTTACACAGCAAAAAGACGAAATTGCATAACAAGATAAGTATTATTTATTAAAGATAATAATTATATTTATTGAACGATAATAATATATAATAATTAACTACTTTATGTTGCAATCAATATGTTTTTGCAATTTAGGTTTTAAAAATTCGCGTCTAATATAATAGTGTCAGTTATTTTAGTTTGTATCACTGTCTTATTGTTTCGTTCATTTTAAATTGAGTTAGAAGATGGCGCACTCTGGTTAAACTAAGGTCGTGTCCTGTATCTGAGTCAAATAAAGACTTATTTCGATCTCTACAATATAAATACGTGAGTTTTACTTATCCTAAAACATCACTTTATAAACTGTTTATGTTACCATACAAGTGCAAAAAAACATCTTTATGATTTACATTACCGCACAGTTTATAAAGTAGTTAATTATTATATTATATTATCGTTTAGTAAATAAAATTATCATCTTCAATAAATAATACTTATCTTGTTATATGCAATTTTGTCTTTTCACTGTAACTTTAAAACAGTCGACATTTAGGACATATGTGTATTAAGACTTTCAACTTAGAATGACACCAAGAATACACAGTTTCAGTGTGGACATCACGTTGCCGGACACCCTGTATATTGATGTGTAATTCGTATTCGCTGTTTCTTAGGATTTTTGGCAACTTAGAACAAAAAATAAGCTTAGTCGGGTAAATTTTATTATGCTATATTTTACTATGTGAAAGTATTATGTGAGAAAATAAACTAAGGGCACAATAACTACCATACTTATTCTATATAATACATAAAATCCGATGACTAAAATCATACTTCTAAATCAAAAGAGAATTAAATATTAATTACAAACTAAAAATTAACGTCTTACCAGTATTGATTTTAAATAATCAAATAAGAATAATAAAACTAATCTATATGCGTTTTCAGACGTAGAAATAAAATTACTAGTCCTGACAAAAAATGAATATTTTATAATAGAAGAGACAGTAATTGTCAACGATCTTTCAATGACTTTTAACGAAAACATATATTCCAAAGATTTTAGTAAGGCTCTCAAAAAAGCATATTAGAATATTAACGGACTAGTAAGAGCCAGGTTGTAGAGGTCCAGTTGACAAGAAAGGATTGAGATCTATTTCATTTTTTTGACATATCATACGAAAAAAAATGCTCTGTGCACAACTAATCAGTTTCAACGAACATTACGTCTTCCTTGAAACTGACGTACCATCCGTCTTGATTTTACTGATTGCCAGTTAGTTGAAATTCGAAAAACAAGCAATATCAAATATCATACATTGAATAGAAATATTTTAATGATTATAGAGTGTTTAGTATTTTCCGAAATTTTCTATTGATTAAAAATATAGAATATAAACTTGCAACCAGTTAGAAACGACATAACTAGCAAAAGAATAAGATTGATTTTATTTTAAAATATTTTGTGAACAGAGTGCATCCACCGCTCTTTTTCTCTATCTTTTTCGAATTAAAATTATTAATTTATTTATTTGAATAAAAATTATTAATTTATTTATTCATTCAAATTAATTTATTCGAATAAAAATTATTAATTAATTTATTTATATCACATCTTGTTGAGAAATATTTTTTTTAATTTAATTTTTTCATTTTTGAATTTGTATAAAAATGAAAATCTTTCATTCAGTAAATAATTTTATGCAATTCGATTTTATTTTTACTTTGTAGATACAATTTTTTGCAATTAATCAGGAAATTTTGAGAATATAACATGTTTATAAATTAATTATTCTTACCGACTACACTGTCTTCAGTCACGTTGTTCAAATATTTCTGCATATATATCTTCTGGACTCGTAACAGGTAATTATTAAGTGTGAAGAACTTGAAAGATGATGTATTCTGTTGAATAAAAAATAAAAACCAATAAAAAATTATAAATGTGTCTCATAGTAACTAAATCATAAATAAAGTAATTTTCTTTTCGATTGTTGAATTGAAAGTTTTGTCTTAATAATTCAGTTTTTATGAATTTTAGTTTATTTAATAACAATAATTTCTTCAAGTAAGACTTTACTTTAATTCGATTTCTATTTTCACGAAAGCGTTTGTTATCTCATTGATTTTAAGATTTATATTTCAACATTAATGTTAATTTCATTATCATTGTTTTGTGATCATAGAAATGTTTGACATTTCTGTATTTAAAATTTCTTATTAAATTTCTTTTATATTTTTATGACCTAATTAATTATTTTTCATTTTCATATAAATTTAATTTTTATTATTATATTTTATTATTATATAGAGGCCTAAACCAAAGGCTAAAACGGTGTGTACCAAAGATGAATAAATAGATATATTTTTGCCAATTAAGTCGGTTCATGATATTGTTATATTAATGTTTCAACGCAAGTGAAATTGTAAGAGCATAATGCCATAAACATTTGCATAACTTGTATTTCGCTTCAAATATGCATGTATGTATAGTTAATATATGTATATGTTCACGTTTATTATACATATACATTATTATATACATTGATACAATCAATAAAATTAATAGACACAGTGAATGATAACTATTTAGCTAGAATTTTAACTATAGCTATATTATTGACCTTGAAATATTTGATCCAGAGAAATTAATAATACTGAAAGAGCATTATAAACAAATCTTCTACATGAGATTTAATAGATTTTATTATTTATGCAACTTATTTAAACTCTAGTACTTGGTTTTGTTAAATAAAAATATTTTATTGTAAGTTTTATACACAAAAATTAAAAATATTAAAATTAAAACATGTTTAAAAAAGTAAAAATTTTAAAACTATTTAAAAAATAATAATAGTTTTAAAAGTTAAAGAAAAATCATGTATAAAAATAATCACGTAATTATACAAAAATGTTATATGTTTTTATTAATGTAGAGAATACACGAAATTATTATTCTTAAAAATTTTTATTCTTAAATAAAACAATTATACTATGTTACGTTTAAGATTAAATATATATCATTTTAATTATGTAATTTTAATTTTGTGCTATATATATTATATTTTTAATGTGTTTGTTTTTAACGCAAAATTAAACAAATTTTTGTATATTTTTTGTAATATCAAAATTCTTGTGTTACGTTTATTGAACAGTTTAAATTACACAAACAATTTCTCATTAGTTACAATAACATAAAATATATTTTTTTTCATCTCTTATCTACGAAAAATTTTCTTATTTACACCAAGTTTAAATCAAGCACATGAAAATATCCTTTTTTGAAGACTGACCTGCTGTACTATATAAATATCTTCATTCTCTAAAGATACCGCGAGGGCCGTTCTCGTTAGCATTAACACTTTTAATAAAATACATAATATTTTTAACGTTCCGAACATGATAACTTTTTTCTCTTGCAGATATTTTTACTGGATTCTCCTTCACGAGAATCTTAACTGAACAACAATTACTGACTAATGCACACTCAATCATTTTAATTGGCATTTGAATATATAGACAACACAATAGCTAACAATTGTGTCAAAGGCGGGGAGTGTGGTTTGATATTTTTGGGGAAGGGGTACTTTATAAGCTTCGATTAAATCCAGTTACGCTCGATTATATTCGGTTAATATGATTTTTATAGACACCACGTCAACACATTGGTCATTTACGTTGACGAAACTGCCGGAAATTTATTATACCCTTCCTTTACCGCAAAATTACTTGCCTCTTTCAAAAAAGATGTAAAATGTAAACTATATGTAAAACTTTTTTCGATTAGATAAAAAAAAAATAGATGGAAATTATTGATAATAATATAGATCGACAAACGACGATAAAATTGGTCGATATTAATCTCGATCAAAACTCGTTTGGTCAAAAAAAGCGATTATGCACTTATATAATATCATTTAAGACATCATGGCGGTTGAATGTTCAAAATACGACTGTGCTTCAGTTAAGATTCTCCATTTCAAATTTTTTAGAAGGCGGAGCTGGAACCAAGAAATTTATTTTACTAAGAATCAGAAGAAAAAAAAATAAAAAGTAGGAATGCGCTTGGTGTTTGTATGTATGTGTATGAAAGAGAAAGAAGGAGATAATGCAGTCGAATAATGTCTTTATGTTCTCCAATAGATTTATTGTTTAAGTCAAGTGTGCATGTACATGTGCGTGCGCGTGTAATTTACGAGATTTTATTTTTGAATGTGATTTTTCAATTTTTTCGCATAAATCGATTATAATGATTTTTTACCATCATCAATTTATTTTGTTGATATTGAAAAATTAATATATTTCCTTTAATTATGTACACCCAACGTCAAATTAAATTGATTCTTAATAACACTGTTCAACAAAGAAATGACGGTTTTTGAACACTGGAACGAGAAAAAATAAAGTAAATTAGGACTTTCAACTCTCAGTAAGAATTTTCGGTGTCGGTTATGATATCCACAGTTGAATATAAGGTATTGCAGAAGTTAGCGGTTTCTTAGGTTGACGCAAACTACAGACAGTTTTAAAATATGTTTATTTATTCTTAAAGGTCTTTTAGGTCACTGACAATGAATACAAAATCAATTGTCAACATACTTTGTATAATGGCAAGAAAACTTCTTTAGTACGTCACATATATTGTAGTTATAATATGACAAAATTCGAAAAAATAGCACTTTCTTACAATTGCAATTTTTTTAAATTGTGCCGTGATGGAGCAATTTTTTAGACAGATTTGTGTTCAGCGTCAAAAATACTATAAGAAATATCTAGTCTCGTAACGGTGTTTTTTTACTGAACAGTGTTATTAACGACGATCAAAGATCTCAAAAATTGTTCATACAAAAAACTAATTATGTCTATATGATATTGTTTGAAGCATGATTCGCAGTTAAAAGTTCAAAAATACAAATACGATTGGCTGTGCTTCAGAGAAAATCCGCTGTCGGACGATATTCAGAAGGCGGAGACTAAAACACAGAAAAATGCAATTTATTAAAAAAATTTAAAAGAGCGTCGCGCAAATATGATATTTGATAAAAATATACTTCTAAAGCTACAAAAAATTCGAACATAGATTTGTAGTTGTTACAAGTATATTTTTAAACTTTTTAAATTATAAATATGATTTATGAAAATAATTACCAATTTATCTGTACATGTCTGATAATACTCACTGAATGCAGGATTGTGTCTTCTATTTCGTTTCTTAAGGTTACAATAGTTTCGAGACAACTCATGAAATTTGGTCTATCATTTGCCGCATTCCAGCAATTTAGCATCAAATCGTATAATTTCTCTGGACAGTGATAGGATTTGGATAACTTTTTCCCTGCACACACATACTCCTTTACTTCATTAAAACTATATAAGGCAGCATAGGGATGTTGTCCCAACGATGTAATTTCCCACATTAGTACCCCGAATGACCAAACATCGCTTTGTGAAGTAAATATTCGGTCTATCAAAGATTCCGGTGCCATCCAACGAAAAGGAAGCAGGCCTTCTCCTCCCTAAAATACAATTTTAGTGCAATTAAAGACTTTTATCGAAAAAAATAATGTTTATTTTTGCAAGCGTTAGATGTAGATAAAATTCATCATTTTTTTCCATATACTCTTATACACACAAAACCAGTAATATCTCATATTACATTTTGTTCATTTTTGTTTATTTATTCTATTCAGCTCAACAATATATAATATTATTATAATGCAAAAAATTTATCTTTTTAAAATATATATATATGTATATATATATAATTACATTCTAATTACCGTACGATAATAGTCTTTGATGTAAACATCTTTAGCTAGTCCGAAGTCGCTGATTTTCACAACACGGTTTTCACGATTTCTCGAGGATATTAAGCAATTTCGACAAGCGAGATCTCTATGCACATAGTGCTGTTCTTCTAAATAGCGACAACCTCGAGCAACATCTTCGCACATAGCAAGCAAATCTTGTAGACGCAGGGCGTGCGGATCTTCCGGATGCAATGTTCGAGTCTCTCTCAAATATTTCAGTAAGTCACCAACTTCCATTAATTCCAATATCAGCCATGGTTGATCCTCGGTAATACAGATGCCCAACAATCTTAGCACATGTTTGTGGTCAAATTCTTTCATAATTTTAGCCTCTTCCAAGAATTCTTGTTTCTTTTGCCAGGTAGCATTTTTTCGTAGCATCTTAATGGCGACAGGCATTATTTCCGAACCTTCTCCATTTTTGACTCCTCGATATACCTGGAATTTATTTCATATTCAATACAAATCCATAGAATGCATGCTAAAAAATGTTTGTTTATTATACAACTTTTTATAAAAATTTTAATTTTTGCAATATTTTTTATTAAAAATGTGCCTCAATATTTTCTGATAAAAATGTTAAGGAAAATCTTCAAGGATATACAAAGAAATAAGAATTTAATTTTACCTCTCCAAATGCACCGCTGCCTAGAAGATTTCCTAGAGTGATTTGCTTTTTATCGATTATTATATTTGCAAATTCGTTGATATCACTTTGCAATTTAGGATCGTGCACAGAGTGGAGTTCATAGTTTAGGAAAGATGTTTCGTTCGCGGTTGTTGATTCGATATTAATTATTGAAGGCCTAATTATTTGTTTACTTTTTTTGCGTTGCCAGTGCTTACCTGTTAGATAAATAAGCGTTATAATACATTTAATACTATGCTTTGCAAAATTTAAATCATTTTTAATAATTGAAATAACTTCTTAAAAACTTTATATTTCCTTTATATATCCCATAAGCAAAAAATATTTAATCAACATTTTGAAATGTTGATTTTATATAAATTTTTAAACGTTATAATATAATGTGTGTTTTATAAATATGTTTAAAATAATTTAATAAACGTATTAATAAATATTTAAAAAATATTTTAACTGATGTTTTATAAATGTTTTAAAAATATTATTTAATAACATATTGCTCTCAAAATATTTTAGAAATATTTTAATAACATAAGTCAAATTGTTCCTTATATGTTATTAACACGTTTATTCGTTCATTGATTTAGATATACTGGTGCCAATATGCAATGTGAACCCATATAATCTTTCAGTAAGTTTCTGCAAATGAAATGCTCTGAACAAAAGAATAAAAATTAAGATTTCTTCTAGTGTGTATTATTAACATCAATATTAATGTTATAATATATCTTGTAAGTTGGAAAGATATTTGTCGAATTTTTAATTAATTGAAGAATTAATTAGGTTAGATTATCTTCTTGTATTTTGTATAAATTTTTAATAAAAATACTCAAATTGTTTGACAAAAATAAACTGTAATAAATAGAAGATAAAATATACTTTTATTTTTAGATTTAAAGAAATGTTATTTCAACATTACCGAAATCTCTAAATCGATACCAAAGTTTGTTCATAATAATGTTCAATGTTCAAAATTACATACTTGACAACATTATTATGTTAGTAAAAATCATTATAATAACCTTTTAATAATGATTTCTTGCTTACTGGGATATCATGTTTAAAATAATTTTTAATTATAGTATTTAATTATATTTATTTTGAATCTGTAAAAAAAAAACACACAGCAGTAAAAGTAGTAAACATTATAGATTACGATGGTAGCGACAATGCTTAATATTAACGTTACGTATTGCACAGTTAATATTTCGTTCTTATTAGATTTCAGATTTGATGTTAAATCAACGACTCTTGATTCGCCGCTCCATTTCCCAGAACCATAAGTATTTGTAGCCTGCACACGAAAAAGATATTTCTGATTCATTTCTCTCGTCGTTATCCAGCAATAATTATTTGTTCCATTATAGTATAAATTCCAATGATTGATTTTGTCGGTTCGATTGACTTCTTTGTCATTATTTTCGACAATTAAACCCTCCAGTCGATACAAAATCACTGGTGAATCATGAGCTTGCGCATGTTCCCAGTTTAATTGATACGTCAAATTTGGAAGTTTTGTTACAATGGGTCTCCCAGGAGCACTTGGTACATTACCTTTGTTATACAAAAGTACAATTTAAATATCTTCGTTTTATTCTAGAATATATTATCTTAGAACTTTATTATTTATAATTTTCAATTAAAATTTATTTTTAAGAAAGTCTTAAAGTATATATGGGACGTTCCACGTCAAGTAGGACAGGCGTCTGGGCAAAATTTGTGAAGTCAGAAAAAGACGTTTGAAAGGCTTAAAATTTTCGTTATTTTAAATTGTTTAAGAAAAACGTGGCCTTTTATAAAATTCAAAGTACCTACTTCAATATGATACGGCTGGAATACATGATAAACTTACTGAAAACATATAATTATCGATCAAAACGCATTCGATTTCAATGAAACTCGGTATCTAGGGGTTTTTCAAGTTGCTTATAAAGAATCTATAGTCAGAAATTGAAAAAATTTTTAATTCTTTTTTCTATTTTTATCGTTAATTTAGTACTATTTAAATGTGTTCAAAAAAAATGAAATGATTGATATTTAACATGTGTCATATAATAACAATTAAGATTGGAAGAAGATATTCCGGCGCAATTGACTCTCTTTCAATTATTCAGTACTATATGTTTTCAGTAAGTTTATCATGTATTCTAGCCATCATATTGGAGTGGGTACTTTAAACTTTTTAAAAGGTATTTTTCTTAAACAACATAAAATAATGAAAATTTTAAGACATCTTGTTCCGACTTCACAAATTTTACCCAGACGTTTGTTCCACTTGACGTGAACGTCCCATATACATGTAATATCATATACATATTATCATTGTATGGTTTACTCACCATGCGTTTCAAATCTAAATCCTTTTTCAGGCCATACAAAGTCGTCCATGTATTCGGGTATTTCAGGATCAAACGGAAATTGTATAGAGTTTGCGGCAATAAATTTTTATATAATATATTATTTTATTATTATTTCTTTCACTGATATTTGCCATTTGCCACTCCCACATCACATCGTTTGTATTCCAGTATGGGACGGAATTTCGTGTGCATCGTCAAATTGACGCCAGAAATCCATGAGATATTCATACTATTTGTACTGACTCCGATTAAACTTAAATTATTCGGTTCTGACATGTAGATTGTTTTGTTTAAACTGTCAGTGAAGAATTGACTAAAATTGTATGGATATACACGCACATATATCTGATAATTATGTTTTGACAGCAGCGACCCGATTGTCGTGAAAAGCTTTCCATCTGTTGTACGTTCGAGCGTATCGATAAGTTTTGTGATGGAAGATTTTGTATTATTTCTTGCGTTTTATTTGAAAATTCCATCCAATGCACCTCGTAGGTCACTGTCACGCAGTTTAATTTCTTGGATGGCATCCAATAAACTATCGCTAACGTTGGCGTTAAAACTTGAACCGTCACATCTTCTGGCATGTCGAGCTTTCCGGTAGTTATCACTTTCACATTCGAGCCGAATTGCAAGTCCATTGATAACTTGCGGACGTAAAAATTGCTCAGTGCTAGCTTCAGCGTATATTCTGTGAACGGCATTAAGTTCTTGAATTCGTAATGCCGTTCGTATGTCACATCGAATTGCTCGAACTTGTTACTGCCATTGTCCAAACATGTTAAATAACTCCTAGAGATGGTATATATAGTAGTTGATAAGTTGTACTTTTCGCATCCGTCATTGAGAATCGGATCTGGAAGGCTTATATTGATACTGTGTATGGTTTTATTCAATACTTCAATACGATAATTTGTCATGCTAGGTATCAAACATTTTGTTTGGGGATATGTTTGTAAAGTTTTATCAAGTGATATAAATTTATTGAGATAAGCAACATTTTCTCGGTAACGTATTCTACGTACATATTCCAATTTATGTTCTTTGTTTTCGAAAAGAGGATATATTTTTTTAAAAATGTAAATTACGTTTTCGTTTGTATCGTACAAGTAAATGTTTGTCTTGTCAAACGTTAAATATCTGTAATTGTTTATATTTTTAAAGTTTGAAATCTTGTAATATTTACAACCATCAATATCTGTTATGACAAAGTCACTGACACCACTCCAATATAATAGCGGCTCAATATTTGTTGTATCAGTCTGTAAGGTGATGTAGGACCCTAGATATAGTTCGTTACGAAAGCATTTATTGTCTTCTCTAAGAGTTTTCATGTTTTTTCCATCTAAATCCGATCGCATTACTTCTGACGAGCCAAACAGTGACCAATACATATATCTGAAAAGTACGCATATTATTCACTACTAATAACATATCTATTATATCAGAAAATAATATAAGATTATATTGAATTTTCTACAATTCTTTGTGAGTTTATGATTTTATACCTTGTGATAAAAAAACAATTATTAAAGCATTAAAAATTATACAATAACTTCAAGTTTTAATTAAAAAATCAAAGTTAGTAACATTTTTTACATGTATAAAACTTAATGTACCCTGATGATGGCAGTACATGTAAAAAGTCTGCACGATCTTGTTTCTTGGATATATTTATTTCATCATATTTTACTATGCCTATTTGTTCCCACAATGTTAAGTCTAGCTTTATAATGCAGATTCCCGTTGTGCATTCTTGTACCCAATAAAGTTTTCTATGAATCCAATCAAAGCAGAGTTGATGTGCAGTGTCATTGAGCTTTGCTATTGTTCGATTCGTTTGAATTGCGGTTGGATTAAAATCCGATGTTATTAGCTCTGACTGGTCATTGATTCCATATATTTTATGTTCCAATGCTGAGTAAACGATATCTCTATATATAATTTGTGTATCAAGTTCAATATCTATCTGTAAATCTACATCCAATATATTCACACCAAATGAATTCCACGGGAGGACGAGTAATAGAGGTATCGGATTCTCGTCATGGTGGACACATTGAAATTAACAAAAGAACTACGATCAAACAATGTTATTATTTCTATATTAAAATAGTAAGTTGTATCAGCTTTTAAATCGTATACTTTGTATTCTAATGGATTATATATCTGCGTATTTGTGATATTTATTTGAATCGTTTGATTTAGATCCTCGCTCCAATACTGAACATAATTCATATGTAGTATGATATATTGATTTTTAAATTCGTCCGATCTATAAAGAAATAAGATATCTTAATTTTTTTATTTTTAGCAAATTATAATTTTAGCAAATTTCTGATAAAAATAAATAAAATTATATATATATATATATATATATATATAATTTATTTATTTTTTATCAGAAATTTGCTAAAATTATAATATATATAAATATATATATATATATATATATATATATATATAGGGTGTCCTATTTTAAAAATCGCACCTCGATAATTCTTCAACAAACCAAAAATGTTTTATTGTCAGACAAAAATTGTATGGTTTTGAGGGAGACATAAGATGGTGCCATGGATTTAACCTTGCAAAATCAGTTAAAGGTCACGTAAAGGTCAACTTTAATTTCTTAAATAAAATTATCTATTTTTTATTGTATATTATTGTAGCTTATCTCGAGAGCTTTTCAAACCTCTATAATAAAGTATTTTTTCTTAAAATATACTCTTTGAGTTATAAAGGTTTGAAGCTAACAATTTTATTCCAAAATGTAAAATATCTTGTAAAATATTCATGCAGTTTTCGTTAAACATGTCTTAATACATTTATGCACGGAATAATGAGACCAATCAATTGGTGTAAAGAAAACACATAGTTACTCTTAAAAAATATATACAAATTACACACATCTTTTTAAAGCAACTATATGTATTTTTTTACACCAATTGATGGGTCTCATTATTCCGTGCATAAAAGTCTTAAGGTATAAATACCAAATTTTTACATTTTATCTAAAAAATTGTTAACTTCAAACCGTTCTAACTCAAAGAATATTTCACGAAAAATACTTTATTATAGGGATTTGGAAAGGTCTCGAGATAAGCTACAAGAATATACAGTGAAAAATAGATGATTCCATTTAAGAAATTGAAGTTGACCCTCACGTGACCTTTAAATGACTTTTCAGGGTCGAATCAATGGCACCCTTTTATGTCGCCCTCGAAACTATACAACTTTTATCTGAAACATTTTTGCTGAAAATGCTTTGTTGAAGAATTATTGAGGTGCGCTTTTTAAAATGGGACCCGTAAAAATGGTCTACTTAAAAAAAAAAACTATTTGATATCCTTAAAATAATCGTGAAAACCTTACGTCAGCGTGTGATAGATATATGGTATAAAAGATAAACAAAATAAAGCATAGAACGTAATAAAAAAAAGTACATTAAGAGTTAGATTTTTTATATAAGGTCACTTTACACGATTTATAATTTACAATAGAATTTAGGACAAATGTATATATAAGAGCATTCAAACAATTATAGAAGTGTGTAAATATTATATATATATATATATATATATATATATATATGTATGTATATTGTGTGTGTGTCGTTAAATTGAAAAAAATGAAAAATATACAAACTAAAAATTTGGATTCTTCTTTACCTTAGTGTCACACAAATGTTTTTCTTAGTTAGCCTATTATTGAATTCTACGAATGTCCGAAGAGGAAATGATTCATTTGGGATGCTTCCTGGATATAGTGTGCTATCTTCCTTGAGAACTTTCAAAAATCATAATTATACGGAATTATAATCATAAATATGTATATATAAGAATGGGGTATATACAATAAGTAAAACTTTTTAGAAGTTTTAAAATAATTTAGTTGGTATATAGAATTAATTATTATATAGGTTTAAAGTGTCAAACAGGCAATAAGAGCCAAATCGCGGATGACAGTGCGTTATCCCAACGAAACTAAATTTTTCGTTAGAATTAAAAACCTGTACACAAGGCACTAAATTTTACTTGGTCACGGCCAAGATTTAAAATTGGAATAATCTCTACAAGAGATTTAATTCCATACATCCCCTGTTCTCCCTCAATGAAATAAATGCGAGAGAAAAATATAGATCCGAAAGTCGCTGAATCGGGAATTGAACCCGAGACCTTTCGCTTGCCGGGCGACTGCTCTTCCAACTGAGTTTTTATTCAGATCCTTTCGATTCTATACTTTTCTCTGCTATATATATAATAATGTTGATAAACAAACGCCTTTAAGCCAGCGTGTATAAATTAAGAGTTTAACAAGGCTCTGTAATATAAATATAAATTTAAAGTGTCAAACAGGCAATAAGAGCCAAATCGCGGATGACAGTGCGTTATCCCAACAAAACTAATTTTTTCGTTAGAATTAAAAACCTGTGCACAAGGTACTAAATTTAGTTAGCACTTAATTAAAATTTTACTAAAAGGCAAATGAAAAATATAGGATCGAAAGGGTCTGAATAGCTCAGTTGGAAGAGCAGTCGCTCGGCAAGCGAAAGGTCTCGGGTTCGATTCCCGATTCAGCTACTTTCGAATCTATATTTTTCTCTCGCATTTATTTCATTAAGGAGGAACAGGGAATGTATGGAATTAAATCTCTTGTAAAGATTATTCCAATTTTAAATCTTGGCCGTGACCAAGTAAAATTTAGTGCCTTGTGCACAGATTTTTAATTCTAACGAAAAAATTAGTTTCGTTGGAATAACGCACTGTCATCCGCGATTTGGCTCTTATTGCCTGTTTGACACTTTAAATTTATATTTATATTACAGAGCCTTGTTAAACTCTTAGAATTATTATGTTAGACTTCCAATTTCGGTAATTGAGAAAAGATAAAATAAAATAATTGTTTAATTGTTGATAAAAAAAATAGTAGAATGAATGTGTCGATTACTGTGTCCGTTTAGCTACACCTCCATGTTTTTAAATTTAAAAAGAATTCTTAATTTTTTTCTACGTCTTAAAGTATTATAATTATAATTCAATGTTTTTTGTAATACAAGGAACCTTTTTATTAATAAAATATTTTAAAAACTTTAAAAATCATTAAAAGAAAATAATTAAAAAAAAAAATGATTCAAGCCAAGTTACTGGATAAAAATCACAAAAATGGATCTCATTTACTGTACTCATGTACTATGTCTTATTTACTGTATTTTTTCAATTACTATTCCAAATGCCGTGTGGAAGTTCAGAATATACTGTGCCTTAAATATGTCGATTATATCATATACCGTGTAGCATAAGGGGGCATAGTAATTGCTACATCGAGAAAAAATGACTAAAATTTGTGCAGTTATTGAATACGGTGATACAAATAAACACAAAATTTTTACCGGTTTTGGATTCATTAAATTAAAAAGAATATTTTTAAAATTGCTTAAAATATTGTTTCTTCATAGTTTATACGGGTTTCAATAATATAGAATACATTTTTATAGATGGTGTATATTAATCTATTTATCTTGATATATGTAAATAATATTCGTTGTTTTTTTAAGCTTTTTAACAACTTAATATGAAAAACAAGCTATATCAGGTATCAAAAATCTTAAATATTATTTTCAATATTTAAAAAATATGTTATATATTTAATTTTTTTATATGTATATCAAAAACTCAATTTTATAAAAAAATGAATGTTAATTTTATTATGCTTTATTTTACTATGTGAGAAAAACTAAGAGTACAATAATTGGCACATTTATCCTATATGATATTGTACATAAAGTACGATGACAGATACTTCTAAGTAAAAAAAAATATATATATATATAAACTACAAACTGCAAATTAATGTAGCAAATTGACTTTTAAAATAACCAAATAATAATAATAACATCATAATCTATTCACGTTTTTGAGACTTAAAAGCAATAACATAATTATAGTAGTCCTGACAAAAAATGAATATTTTATAATAGAAGAGACAGTAATTGTCAATGATCATTTAATGATTTTTAACGAAAACAAATATTTCAAAGACTTTAGTAAGGCTTTCAAAAAAACAAATTAGAATTTTAACGAACTAGTAAGACCCAGGTCGTAAATGTTAGAGTGTCCAATTGACAAGAAAGAATTGAGATTTATTTCATTTCTTGACATATTGTACGAAGAAAAATTTGTGTTTTGTGCACAACTAACCAATTTCAACGAAAATTATTTCTCCCTTGAAACTGACGTAGCATGCGTCTCTTGATCTTACTGGTTTCTAGCAGGTTAAAATTCAAATAATACACAATATATTATATCAAATGTCTCACATTGAAGAGAAATCGTTTAATAATTACTAAGCGTTTAGTATTTCCCGAACTTTTCTATTGATTAAAAATATAAAAATATGAGATTTCCAACTAGTTAGAAACGACATAGCTAGCAAAAGAATGAGATTGATTTTATTTTAAAATATTTCGTGAACAGAGTGTTTGCATCTATTCCTCTTTTTGTTTATTTTTTTCGAATAGAATATATATTTATTTATATATTTTCATGTTAAGAGATAATTCTTCAAATTTAATTTTTTAATTTTGATTTTGCAAATACAATTTTTTGCAACTAATTAAGAAATTTTGAGAATATAAACATGTCTACAAATGAATTATTCTTACCAACTACATTTTTTTCAGTCACGTTGTTAAAATATTCCTGCATATATACTTCTTGACTCGTAACAGGTAATTATTAATTGTGTAGAACTCGAAAGATGATATATTCTGTTGAATGAACAAGAAAAACCAATAAGAAATTATATAATTGTCTCTTATATTAATTAAATCTTATAGTAATAGAAAGTCTAATTCTCTTCGATTGTTAAAACAGCTGTGTCTAATAATTCAGTTTTTGCGTTATTTTTAGTTTATTTAATAACAATAATTTCTTCAAGTAAAACTTTACTTTAATTCGCTTTCTATTTTCATAAAAGCGATTTTCATCTCATTGATAGTGTTAAAGTTTATATTTCAACACTAAAGTTAATTTCATTGTAATTGTTTTGTGATCATAGAAATGTTTGACATTCCTGTATTAAAAAATCTTATTAAATTTCTTTTATATTTCTATTGTCTAATAAATTATCTTTTATTTTTCTATAAATTTAATTTTTATTATTATATTCCAGCGCAAGTGACATTTGAAGAGCATAATATATTTAATGCCATAAACGTTTACGACTTGTATTTTGCTTAAAATATGTACATACGTATATGTTAATATATGTATGTACACGTTTGTTATATACATTATTATACATATACATTGATACAATGAATAATATTAATGCACGTAGTGATAGCTGTTTAGCTGTAGATATAATTACGGCTATATAATATTGACTTTAAAATATTTGACTTATAAACCACTTATAAACCACTTAATAAAAATCCATTAAACGCTCTCAACGCAAAGATCACAACTTTATTAAAATCTTGGTTGGATAATGGACTCATAGATGATTCAATTTACAAACAATTGAGATGTACTAATGGCAATTTGTCTCGTGCCTATGGTTTACCTAAGATCCATAAAGTAGGTTACCCTCTTCGTATCATAATTTCAACGTGGGAAGTCCGGTTTATTACATTGCATCTTATTTAGGTGAGATTTTGCAAAATGCAGTCAAGAAACCTCGATCTCACATTAAGGATAGTTGGTCCTTTGTTGAAATTATTAAAGATAAAAACATTGATGACGATCATGTCATGATTTCGTTGGACGTGACTTCGCTTTTTACTAACACACCGTGGGAATTAATAAAAGCAGCAATAGAAAACCGTTGGGATGATATCTCACAATTTACTTCATTTAACATTGCACAGTTTTACATGCTATTGACACGGTCATGCGCTCGACTAGTTTGTTTTGATGGAAATTTTACGAGCAGGTTTTCGGTTCGCCTATGGGGTCTCCTTTGTCTCCAATTTTGTCTGATATGGTTATGGACGATTTGGAATCATATTGTTTGCGTCAATTGGATTTTGAGCCCTATTGTTATTTCAGATATGTTGATGACATTTTTTCAATTATTCCGAAATGTAAAGTGGAGGATATGCTTACGATTTTTAATAGTTTTCACACTCGACTAAAGTTTAAAGTTTACGTTTGAATTGGAGAACAATTGTTCCTTAAGTTTTTTAGACACAAGCGTTATGCGAGTTAATGGCAAATTGACGACTGACTGGTTCCGTAAGCCTACGTTTTCAGGCCGTTATATAAATTTTCTTTCGAACCATCCGATGCGTTATAAAATTAGTGTGATCACAAGCCTCGTGGACAGGGCTATTTTACTCGCTGACCCTATGTTTCACGAGAAAAACATCATCTTAGTCAAACGAATTCTTCGTAACAATTGTTACCCGTTAACAGTCATAAACAAAATTGTTAACAGGAGACTTAGGGCGATTAAATTTGGCGGTAATTTTGGTGCGTCTAATCGAGATAAATTTGATACACGAAATGTTATAGTGTTGCCGTATATTAGAGATTTGAGCGAAAATATTACTCGTTGCATAAACAAAAATGGAATCGGTGTATTATATACCGTTCCAAAAAAATTAGACACTTTGATAAAAAGAGGAAAAGATAGTATTGATAACTTAAAAAGAACCGATGTCGTCTATAAGATCGAATGCGCGAATTGTGACTCTACATATATTGGACAAACAAAGCGACATTTAGAAACACGTATTAAGGAACATAAAAATAACATCAAAAAAGACACGACATCACACTCAGTTGTTAGTTTGCATCGGACTTGTAACGATCATGAGTTCCGTTGGGATTCTCCTGTGATTCTGCATCAAGAAAAACAAACGAGAAAAAGAGAAATAGCAGAAATGTTCTATATAAAAAACCAAAGAAAAAGCATTAATTTACAAAAAGATACGGAGAATTTCAGTGGGATTTATGATCGCGTTCTTGAAGCTATTTAATATATTATATTGTCATATGTTACATATTTATTTATTTATTTATTTATTTATCTATTTATTTGACTTTGTATTGACGGTTTAAAAATTGCGAAAGACACAGTACTTTGGTTTTCTATTTCCTCAACGCGTAGTGACTAAGTTTCCTGCTAACAGTCAACATCTATTTATTTCGGGCTTACTTCTGTCAGTTATACATTGTTCATCAAAACAATGGTTAATTTTGTCGGGGGTTTGCTGTAAATATGATTTATTGTATTAATCTGGTATGTAAACATATATTTTTGTAAATTTATAATTATTTGTATGATTAAGCGCATCAAGAGTATATTTATATGTATATAATTGTTTATAGATTACTTGAAAAGGGCTGCAATGACAGCCGAAACGTTGTAAATTAAACTAATTATTTAAAATAAATTATTGCCAGTCTGGTCGACTTTAAAATTAGAGGAGAGATTTTCATTAAAATATTTGATCGAGAGAAATTAATTTAATACTGAAATGCATTAAACAGATCTTCTACACGAGATTTAATGATTTTTATTACACATGCAATTTATAAACTCAATTTTTTTTTATTATTTTTGTTAAATAAAAAATAATTTATTGTAAGTTTTATACAATAATAAAAAAAATATTAAATTAATACAAATTGTCGCTCGTATATTGAAAACAAAGTGATAAATATAAGGCCAACTTATCGAGCTGAATATTCGAGATGTTCAGTCAACTACCATTTATTACATGTATAAATTATAAAACTACAGTCATTAGATATTAAAACTAACGCAAATTACAATCATTCTACAAACGTTTCGACCGCACGCGGTCTTCTTCAGTATAATTATTGAAATATAAATTCATACAACTTCACATAATATCGAAATTTAATTATAGTTATTCAGAATCGAGAGTTTTTGAGCAATTAACGCGTGTTCTAATCCGTCATGTCCAACAATGTTCGCCTCGATATGATCTCTGATTTTGCTCAGATCTCGGATAGTTTTATCGTTAATATGCGAGAAATTAACCCGTTCCGTAGGCGCTGCGATTAATAAAAAATTAACGATTAACGTATGTCGAAATTATAATATATATCCCCTACAATTGGTAATATGCTTACCTATCATCGTCCTTTTTGACAATTTTGCTACTTATTAACAGTTATTAAGGATGACACATAACAAACCAACAATACAGAAAGACAGCTCATTTTAAACTCTACTTGATCGGAGAGCGTGCGTGTTTATATATGATCTAATATCTATGTTTGACTCGTTAATGTCCTATTTGTCCTATTATTATTTATTGTTTGCTAATTTATCCAAAATATCAAAATACGACTCGCTAAGTAACTCAGTATCTTTGTTTAAATTTAGTCCATTTTTTTGTTCCTTGATATGTAGCATCTCAGAAATGAGTCTTTTATAATAATTATTTTCTTTGTCCATGATCTTAACATTGTCCCAATTAAAAGTATGATGTTCATTTTTATGTGTTCAGAAATTACTGAATGTTTCGTTGAGTCCAACCTAATATTATTTTTATGTTCTTTTATTCGCGTCTGCAATTGCCTCTTTGTTTGGCCTACATAAGATGCATTACAATTATTGCAACTGATCTTATAAACCACATTCGAATTGCATGGATGTTTAGTTTTATCTTTCTGTGCTTTAATAATATTATCCAGTTTGTTGAGACATCTATACCCTACAATACAATTTTTATTTTTTACCGAGGAAACAATCATTTCTGAGATCCTATCAATATACGGAATGACAAAGAATTTTTTATCAACCGAGTCATTTCCTATACTTTTTGTTCTTTCTATGTTGGCCTGTCTCTCTATAATGCTCCCCTTAGATATGATGTGTTCTATCCGATGATTAATTTTGTTAAAAATCAGATCAAGAGGGTAACCATTGCTTATGAGTATATTAATAATTAACTCTAAATTTTTATTAAAAATAGTGGATGTGATAGCAATAGACATCTGTCTACAAGGTTATATATTATTCCAATTTTGTGGCATAATGGGTGGTTTGAATAAAATGATAACGTCCTTCCTGAGAAGGTTTCTTTTTGATACCAGTCTATATATATTGTGTTATTAATAATTTTAAGTGATAAATCTAAGAAATTCAAGCTATGATTAACCTCTTGTTCGACCGTGAATTTAAGTCTTTCATGATAGTTGTTAAAATTATTCACAATCTGAGTCATATTAGTCATAGAGGTGGCCACTATTATGTCATCCACATAACGAAAATAAAACAAACATTCCAAATTCAAAGCTTTGAGAACTGTATCCTCAAGATCTTGCATAACCAGGTCTGCAATAATTGGTGATAACGGTGACCCCATAGGGGTCCCAAACGTCTGTTTATAAATTATGTCATTAAATGTAAAATATGTAGAAGTCAATATGAATTTTATACCCCCCAAAAATTCGTTTTTCGGTATTCTAGTATTTATTCCAATGTGATCCCATCTATCGTTAATACCGTCAATTGCAAGATCCAGAGGAACGTTCGTAAACAAAGACACCACATCCAAGAAAAACATCCTATCATTCTCATCAATCTTTTTACCAGACAATATGCTGTACAAATCAAAACTATTATTAATATGACTTTTCGCTTTGGGTAGGCTAGTTCGTAAGGTGTTTTGTAAAAACGAAGCCAGCGAGTATAGAGCTGTATCAACCGATGAAACTATGATTCTAACTGGATAGTTTTCCTTATGGATTTTAGGTAATCCATACGCTTTTGGAAGGAGAGAATCACTGCAACGTAATTTATAATATTCATTTTTGAAATATAATCTTCCTTAAGCCATCTCTTCAACAAATCATTCAAATCGTTCTCTATTTTTTTGCACGGATTTTTTTAACAATAGTGTAAGTGTTGACATCTTTTAAAACATTTTCCATTTTATTAATATAATAAGATCTTTCCATTGCAACCGTAGCATTACCCTTGTCCGCGCGTGTGAATAGAACATTCGGATTGTCTTTACAAAATTTTATTAAATCTCTGTGTGCACCAAGTAATTTTTGTTGACTTACGTCATTTTTATCCTTAGTGTTGAGAAGTTGTGCAAATTTCGGAACCGCGATATTTCTGATCGTTGTGAGATTATTAATATTATTTCGTTTGTTATTACTCTCTATGTCCTTGATAAATTCATGTATCGCTGTTTTTTATTAATATTCGGAAGACAGAATTTATCACCCATTTGCAACAGATTAGAAACGTTAGGCGGAATATCTGTGTTGGACAGATTAAGAAACCATTTTTATTAGTATTTTCCAAAGGATGAATTGTATTATTGAGAAATTTGTTGGCTTCTATGTGTATATTGATCTCCTTGGCATCATTAGTGATTGCCCTGAGAGAATTTTGTGATATTTTTGTCGGTTGTGAAGTTTCAAAGTGTAAAGAACAATGTATATCTATAGGTTTGATGCTGTTGATATACTTGTAGTGTTGTTTTCTCTTAAGCCAATTGAATTTCTTTTCGTGTGCAGTAACCAATCTGTTGTGGCAATTTTTAAAAGCAATATTATGATGTTCGAAAATTCTATTCCACGCGAGTACAGGCAAACGATTAAATAACCCGCTGGTGAGATGAAAAATCCTATTCTGTAATGACTCTACCTGTCTATGCAAATCAAAGATTTCAATGCTCATCGCATTTGTTTTGAATTTGTACAACATACTATCTAGTCTTCTGATCGATCTGTGATGAAAAACGTTAAATTTAATGCGGCAAAAACCTTCTAAATGTGTAGGAAAAATATCGCCATTTTTACAAGTTCTTAAAAATCCCAATTTTGCTCTCGCTCTTATTAACAAGTAATTCGCATTAATCCATTGTTTAAAATAATCTGCGGTTATTCTTCCAAAAACTCTATGAATAAAATTAAAATTAAAATAATAATCAGTCCGTTTTGTGTTAAATTGACGCATTGTAAGGCCAGCATATATTAAAAGTAAATTAATACAAATTGTCGCTCGTATTTGAAAACAAAGTGATAAATATAAGGCCAACTTATCGAGCTGAATATTCGAGATGTTCAGTCAACTACCATTTATTACATGTATAAATTATAAAACTACAGTCATTAGATATTATAACTAACGCAAATTACAATCATTCTACAAACGTTTCGACCGCACGCGGTCTTCTTCAGTATAATTATTGAAATATAAATTCATACAACTTCACATAATATCGAAATTTAATTATAGTTATTCAGAATCGAGAGTTTTTGAGCAATTAACGCGTGTTCTAATCCGTCATGTCCAACAATGTTCGCCTCGATATGATCTCTGATTTTGCTCAGATCTCGGATAGTTTCATCGTTAATATGCGAGAAATTAACCCGTTCCGTAGGCGCTGCGATTAATAAAAATTAACGATTAACGTATGTCGAAATTATAATATATAAAAAAAATATTAATAATGTAGAGAACAAACGGAATCATTTATCTTAAAAATTTTTATTCTTAAATAGAACAATTATATCAACACGTGCTACGTTTGAGATTTAATATACATATATCGTTTTAATTATGTAAGCATAATTTTGTGCTATATAATATTATATTTTTAATGTGTTTGTTTTTAACGCAAAATTAAACAAATTTTTGTATATTTTTTGTAATATCAAAATTCTTGTGTTACGTTTATTGAACAGTTTAAATTACACAAATAATTTCTCATTAGTTACAATAACATAAAATATATTTTTTTTCATCTCTTATCTACGAAAACATTTTCTTATTTACACCAAGTTTAAATGAAAATATCCTTTTTTGAAGACTGACCTGCTGTACTGTATAAATATCTTCATTCTCTAAAGATACCGCGAGGGCCGTTCTCGTTAGCATTAACACTTTTAATAAAATACATAATATTTTTAACGTTCCGAACATGATAACTTTTTCTCTTGCAGATATTTTTACTTGAATCGCATTCACGCGAATCTTGACTCACCAAATTATACTCAATCATTTCGATTGGCATCTGAATATATAGACAAAGCATTTATAGCTACCGATTGTGTCAAAGGGAGGGAGTGATATTTGCGATGAAGGGGTACTATATAAGTTTAAATTGAATTCGGTTACGCTCGATTATGTTCGGTTAATATACAGGGTAAGTCATTTTAATCAATACACATTTTAATAAATATCTCGTAAAATAAGCAAGATGGAAAAAAATGTTTTAAACAAAAAAAAACACATAGTTGCCTTAAAAAGATGTATGTAATTTGCAACATATTTTTTTTTTAATCTATGTGTTTTCTTTACATCAATTGATTGGTCTCATTATTCCGTGCATAGAAGTATTAAGGTATGATTACCAAAAACTGAATATTTTACAAGATATTTTACATTTTATGTCAAAATATTGTAAACTTCAAACTTTTATCTTTATAACTTGAAAAGTATACTTCATGAAAAAACACTTTATTATAAGGTTTTGGAAAGCTCTTGAAATAAGCTACAAGAGCATGTAATGAAAAATAGTGCAGGTTTAATTTAAGAAATTAAAGGTGACCTTTACGTGACCTTCAAATGACTCACGAGGTTAAATCAATGACACCATATAATGTCCTCGTCATAATCAAACAACTTTTGTTTGGAAAATTTTTTTCCATCTTGCTTACTATACGAAATATTTACGTGAATTGATTAAAATGACTCACCCTGTATATATGTACGGAGAGGGGTAACTGATTTTTAAAAATTACTTGCCTCTTTCAAAAAGATGTAAAATCTAAAACTTATTTGTAAAACTTTTATCGATTAGATAAAAAAATTGATGGAAATTATTGATAAATATATAGATTCCAAAAAATTTGCAAAATTTTGGTTCATAAATGTGAAAGTAATTCGCGGTCAGACAGACAGACAGACGGACGAAAATTATATATATATATATATATATATATATATATATATATATATATATATATACACTAGTAAAAATTATCGCAACACGCAATTAATATCAAAATATTGCGTAAATTCAAATAAGCGTATCCCCGCGAAAAATTATCGTATTTGAAAAATTTTTTTTGTTTTAAAGGAAGTCAAACATTTTTTTGTTTTAAAGTCTCTACTTTAAGAAACTTTTGTTCGATTTTGATTTCATCCTCTCCCCCTCTCTCCACCCCTTTAAAAAGTAAGGTGTTTTTTTTTCAAAAAATTGCAAAATTTGACAAACTCTACGGAGTGAAATAAATTTTTTTCGCAAATCTTATCCAAATTTTCGTAAAATATGAATTTTTTCCTACAAATTAAATAAAAAAGCAAAGTTCGTACAATTTTTTTGTGGCAGAATTACGGCATATTAAAGTTATCTATGCATTTTTGTACAATTAACACCAGCATTAGCGATACCAGACGCGCACCAACGATGATTGTACGACAAATTGCTAATAAAAATCTCCCTCACAGAATCAGTGATCACACAATTAGAAGACGTTTACGTGAACGTGGTTTAAGATCGCAAGTTCGACATTTTCTCTTTTAATGTATGAAAAAAATGTATGATCCATATCGTTTACAATTTATTACAATTTATTGTTAAAGATAATAAACACAAATAATATTATATAACATTTACATCGATTGCTCTTTATCGGCCTCTAATTAATTGATTATTTTTATTTTTATCACACAGAGCGTTAACTTAATTATTTCAAAAAAAATTTCTTTAAATACGATAATTTTTCGCGGAGATACGCTTATTTGAATTTATGCGAAATTTTGATATTAATTGCGTGTTGCGATAATTTTTTTGATCAGTGTATATATAGATATTACAAAGTATTATATATATTATACGCATATAATAATATATATATATATATATATATATATATATATATATATATAAACTGCTCTATCTTGCAAAGATTGTAATTACAGAAATTTGCCACTATATATAAAATATATAAATATATAATTATAAATACAACATATAATTTTAAATACACTATGTATAATTGTCAATATACATTGTAAATACAAATTACTACACCAAATTTAACTGATCAAAGGATGAAATCCGTCATCAAATGATTGAACCTTTTAAAATTAGTCAAGTGAAGATTATGTGAAGTGAAAATTATATGCGTACACTCTTTTGGAAAATATATATATTCTGTAATTTATAAAATAAAATTATAGGTATGTAAATCATAAACAAATTTTGTATATTATTTTTCATTGTTTCAGAATTATAAAGGTACAAATTCTGAATTTGCGATATTTTGCTTTAAGTACGTCGCATGTTTCGGTGAAATTAGCATGTCTTGATTTTCCATAAATAATCAAGATCAGACATTTTATTTTCGATAAAGCCTATCTTTGCACAAGTCATCACTCTGCTTTTCGTAAAACTTTAGCATAGTGTCTGCCAAATCCGAAACAGTTTTTCTAAAGTAATCCTCGCCATAATATTGTATAATAGATATTCTACTTTCTTCCGACCACTTGATGTTTCTCATGCCTGCACATAGTAATATTTAAAAAATAATTATTCGAATAAAAAAGAGAAACAAAATATTTAATGCATTTTCGATGAAAAAATATCTTATATTTTGTAAATTTTAATTAGTTAAACAACGTTTCTTAAAATAACATTCAATAAAATTTTGTTTTGAATCTCTGTATGAACAAAGTAGTTTTTGTTGAATTAAGTCATTTTTATCATTAGTGTTGAGAAGTTGTGCAAATTTCGGAACAGCAATATTTCTAATAGTTGTGAGATTATTAATATTATTCCGTTTATGATTACTATCTATGTCTTTAATAAATTCATGTATAGCTATTTTTTATTGATGTTTGGGAGGCAGAAGTTATCACCCATTTGCAAAAGATTAGAAACGTTAGAAGGAATATCTATATTGGACAGATTGATAAACCATTTTTCATTGGTATTTTCCAAAGGATAAATCATATTATCAAGAAATTTATTGAATAGAAGCCAATATATCTCAGCCAATAGAAGCCAATAGGTTCTCAGAAATGATTGTCTCCTCGATAAAAAATACAGAGTGTATATAGTAGAATACAGATGTCTCAACAAACTTGATAACATTATTAAAGCACAGAAAGATAAAACTAAACATCCATGCAATTCGAATGTTGTTTATAAGATCAATTGCAATAATTGTAATGCATCTTATGTAGGCCAAACGAGGAGGCAATTACAGACGAGACTAAAAGAACATAAAAATAATATCAGGTTGCACTCAACGAAATATTCAGTAATTTCTGAACATATAAGAAATGAACACCATACATTTAATTGGGATAACGTAAAGATTCTGGACAACGAAAATAATTATTATAAAAGCCTCATCTCGGAGATGCTACATATTAAAGAACAAAAAAATGGGCTAAATTTAAACAAAGATACTGAATTACTCAGCGAGTCTTAAATATTTTGATATTTTGGATAAATTAGCGAACAATAAATAATAATAAGACAAATAGGACTTTAACGGTTTAAACATAGGTATTAGATCATATATAAACACGCACATTCTTCGATTAAGTAGAGTTTGAAATGAGGTTTTTTTATATTGTTGGTCTTGTCTTGTGTCATCTTCAATAACTTTTTCAAAAAAACGTGGTTAAAATTGTCAAGAAAGACAATGTCAAGTAAGCATATTGCTAATTGTTAAGGATATATATTTTAATTTTTGACATACGGTCAATTTTTTATTAATTGCAGCGCCTACGGAACGTATTATTTTCTCGCATATTAACAATGAAACTTTTCGAGATTTGATTAAAATCAAAGATCATATCGAGGCGAACATTTGTTGGATATGACGGATTGAAACACGCTTTAATTGCTTATAAATTCTCGACTCTTATTGAAGAACTAACATTAATTTTCGATATTATGTGGAATTTTGTATGATTTTGTATTTTTTAATAATTACTGTAATATAATACTGAGGAAGACGAAGACCGCGTGCGGTTGAAACGTTTATTTTATAATGATTGTAATTTTCGCTTAAGTTTGAGTATAGAATGTTTGTAGCTTTCACATAATGTTTTATGTTTAGTTTATACATGGAATAAATTTTATTTGACAGAACAACTCTAATAATTACTCGATAAGTTGGCCTTTTTATCTATCACTAGTTGTATTTACAATATACGAGCGAAACTTTGTATCAATTTATTATTATTATAAATTATATTATTACTAAAGAAAGTAAAACATAAGAAAAATATTTTCTTTAAAAATGAAATAAAATACTCGTACTTTCATATATTTTTGCTTCGTTTGAAAGCATGTATGTATTTGCAGCAAGGTCCACTATTTTACGAATACTCTCAGGATACACTGAAGCAAGTACAAGCGATGTGATGCCACCACAGCTCCAGCCGATCAGAGAAAACTTTGTGTAGCCCAAGATCTTAGATTATGAGCCAATTTGACGTCCCGTTGAAGGAAGTTGTCCGGAAATGTTCTATTATCGGGTGGTCGCGATTTTCCATAACCAGATGGGTCCCATATTGGGAAGTAATGCGCAAGTTTTGTATAATTGAGTAACCTAAATAATAAGAATAAAAATGAAAAAATAATAAAAATAAGGTTAGATATTTAGGCATTTGCCATATTTTGAATTTATTTATTACATAATATATATATATATATATATATATATATATATATATATATATGTTAATACAAATTATCACAATAAATTTCTTTTATTTTTAATTAAGGATGAAATTTGTCACCAAATAATTGAATTCTTTAAAATATTTCAAATGAGGATTATATCCGCCTTTCTCCATAATATGCATTCTGTAATACAAAATAAATTATATGTCAATTGTAATAAAAAACTTTCATCAGATCAATCTTTGATTGTTTCAAAATTATAAAAGTACAAACCTTGAATTGGCAATATTTTGCTTCAGATATGTCACATGTTCCGGTAAAACCATCACATCTTTACCTCCATGAATAATCAACGTTGGACATTT